TCCTCCTCCTCCTCCTCCTCCTCCTCCTCCTCCTCCTCCTCCTCCTCCTCCTACTCCTCCCCGTCGTCACTGCCGTTCCCGCCCGCCGCAACGCGCGTGGGGGGTGTCGGGGGGGGCGCGCGCCGGTTGCAGATGCTGCAATGATGCGTCCGGTCCGGCTTCCACACGTTGCACATCTGGGGGGGGGCGGGGGGGGCGCGGCCGCGGACCAGCGCCAGCCCGGGTCGGGGGGGGAAAGAGGGGGGAGGAGGCGCAGAGGGAGACCCTGACCAGACCGAGGACCCAGACACCCTCGAGTCAAACACAAAATCACGACGGAAGGTTCTGTGCATGCTCGGCCTCTGCGAGCCCTTACGGGGTACCCGGACGGTCAAAAAAGAGACTCAGAATGAGAAACCAATCCCGGGGGAATGTGTCGAGACCCCTGGGGGTCGACGAACGAAAGCAGTGACGTCGGGGGTCTAAGGAGGAGGGGGTGATCGAGGCTCGGTCGGGGCTGCTCCTCGACAGGGGGGAAGCCCCCGACGAGCCCTCGGGAAGTCCCTCCAGCGGGTGGCGTGGTGCTCGGCTGGGTGCAGAAACGGGGGCCCCCTCGGGGATATGTGGAGGGGGGCTGCCACACCCCGGGTGTGGCTGCAGGTGTCTCTCCTGGGCGACCAACCCCTCTCGGGGGGGGGGACGGGGGGGGGATTTCGGGACCGGGGGGGGGGGAAATCGCCTGCGACCCTCCGTTCCCCTGGTGTTGCAGCTGCAGCGGCAACAGCAGTGTCACCCCTGCTTTTAGGACTGATCATGATCATAATCAGAAACGCCATGATGTTCATCACACTGCCCAATGTGGCACCAAAGACATTACGCACTACGTGTGAGGGGGCGAATCTCACGGGCGCTAGCCTTGAAAACGAAGCAGGGCCCCCTTCAAACATTTAGCAAGACCCACCCCTGCGCTATCGCACCCCGCCCTACCCTCCCCGTCCCTTTGCCTTCCCGAGGCAGGAAGAACGGGGGGGCAGAGACCAGGTGGGCCGCCGCCCGGTGCAAGGGGTGGGGTGGGGTGTCCCGAACGCCCCCCCTTCTCCTGCGTCGTCGTCGCAGTCGTCGTCGCAGTCGTCGTCAAGGTCGCCACCGTCGTCGTTGTCGCCGACGTCGGCGTCGGTATAAGCGTCGGCTTCGTCGTCGGTCGTCGGTCGTCGGTCGTTGGTCGTCGGTCGTCGGTCGACGGTCGTCGTCGTCGTGTCGAGGTCGAGGTCGTCGTCGTCGTCGTTGTTGTTGTTGTTGGGGTAGACGGCCAGACCTATGGGCCCCCCAACCGCCACCTCAGGCACAAGAAGCCGCAGGGTGGCAGCCATATACAAAGACCGAGCGCCTATCGAGACCACGAGGAGGATGAGGCGGGGCGGCCAAAGAAAACAAACCCATATGCAGACGAGGAATCAAGGGTGTACTAATCGGTGCACAGGGGCCAGAACCCTCACTTTCTGGGCAGTATTCTAGCGGATGTAAAAACGAAACAACATGGACCCCCTAGAAGGGCGGCCGGCCTGAACGGTCATAAGTTTGGCATGTAAGCCGTGGCACGTAGGCCGGCCCAGCCTCAGCACGTAAGCTTCGGCCTTGTGGACACAACGACCGAACAGACCTGGAATAACATCCGTGGGCACAATCGCCCCCAAGGTCTCGTGGATAGACGCGTGCAGATAAACGCAACTCAGAGCCCACTGAAGCCAAGAAAAAAAACAAACCCGATAAAAGAACGACCCCAGGACTCCCAGGAGAGGAGTGAGCTTCTAGAGTGTTGTCCTGAATTATCCGGGTAACCCCTACGAGACGCCAAGAAGAGTGGCGGCCACGAAGGATCAGGAAGCCAGAAATCGAGACAAGTACAGAGCCCAAGAATAGGTCGCGCGGTGATCAGGCGCAACAACCTCCTGCCCCCGGAGCCCAAAGAGGGAGGGAGGATCCCAAGGGAATCCCAACGGCCTCCCCTGGAACTCCGGGGTGTTGCACGTTCCCGCCCCGCCAGGAAGGAGCCAGGAAAAAACCAGGAAGAAGGGCACCCCCCGAAGAGGGAATGGGTTAGCCACCCCATGTTGAGAGCGTAAGAAAACAGAATAGGAGCCACAGATCACCCAGAGAAAACCCATGATAGAGAAACCAATTAGGCAAATATAACCATTAGAACAAATACGCTCCTAGGGTGTTGTCGGGATCACGCCCGCGTGGAGGACGACGTGCATCGGGATCCCACCCCCCACGTCGTCGTCGTCGTCGTCGTCGTCGTGCGTCGGTGGTCGATCTTCGGTCGTTGGTGTCACAGGTGTCGTCGGTGTCGGTGTCGTCCTTGTCATTGTCCTCGTCCTCGGCGTCCTCGTCTGCGTCGGCGTCGCGTCGCTTGCTGGCGCGAGACATACGTGAGGAGGGGAGGGGCTTGTGGACCCCCCCGCCCCGTCGAAGCGTCAAGTGCCTCCCCAGCGACAACAACGAAATACCCTCTTCTTTACATGGGCGAAACGTGGCCACGACGCGCCGTCGCGGGCACTTTTCCTCGAGGGGTACGTCGAGGCGCCAACGGGGGGCCGCCCCGCTCCCTCGAGGCGGCGGGGCGCCCCCAGGACACGCCGGGCTCCTCCTCCTCCTCATCCTCCTCCTCCTCCTCCTCCTCCTCCTCCTCCTCCTCGTCCTCCTCCTCGTCCTCCTCCTCCTCCTCCCTCTTCCTCCTCTTCCTCCTCCTCCTCCTCCTCCTCCTCCATCTCCATCTCCTCGTCCTCGTCCTCGTCCTCGTCCTCCTCCTCCTCCTCCTCCTCCTCCTCATCCTCCTCATTTTCCTCGCAGGCTCGAGAGCATGTCAAGACCGCACACCGCGCTGCGGGCTGTCCCCTCTCCGAGTAATCTCGATCGCGCCGAGCACGGCCTGCGCCACGACGAGAGGAGTCGCCGGCTCCGACTCGGGCTGAGGCCGTGCTTTCGTCGGAGCCCCTACGGTGGGGGCATTGGGTAAGGAACCCTTAGATAGGGAATCCAGGGTCTGGGGGCCAGTGGAACTCCAATCCAGGCTTGACCAGGGAAATCACCGCCGCCCTCATCGGATAAGGAACCCTCCAGGGTCTGAAGCCTCCTGGGCACATTCCTGAACCAGAGCCCCCACCGTATTGTCCTCGCTGCGCTCGTCTTCCTAGGCGGCCACCGCACCACAGCCGTGACCTGCACAGCCAGCTCGCATCCCATGACGCGTTGCCCATAGTCTCAGCCAGGATGTCAAGCTTTCTCGGCCTCGTACGCCAGCCAGACCACAGCGCCGCACGGGCTGCAAGAGGCCCTGGACGCGGGAAGAGAGAAGCTGGTGCACGAGCTCCTTGCACAGCCCACAGGCTCTCGACGGGACAATGCGCCGCTGCGTGGCGCCTACCTCCTCCTGCCCTTGCTGGCCCTTCCCCTCTCCACGCCACCGCCGTCCGACCCGTCGCCGGCACTCTCCTCGCCAGCACTGCCCCCGTCGATCTCGGGCGACCTGGCCTGCCCCGGCGCCGTCCTTTGAGCAGGGACCGACCGTCCCGGCATTCCTATAGTCATACCACGACATGTTCTTAGAACGCAAAAGCGTTCTAAGAACAAGAACAATGTTCTTAGAACATGAACCCGACTACAGACAAGACAATGTCAGCCAGACATGTTCTAAGAACGTTTCGTGGAAACCACAAAAGGTTCTTAGAGCATTGTTTGGTAGGGCTATAGGCGAGCCAGGACGCTTCGTCACTGCTCGAGTCCTGCTGCCCCCTCCCTCGCCGCGCTCCTCCTCGCCGCGCTCCTCTCCGGAGCCCACCTCGCCAGCTCCGACCACGGCGGAGGCTCCGGCAGCATCGGCCCGGGCCCTCCAGGGCGGGGGCGCCTCTGCCCCGCCGCCCTCCGCCCGCGGCGCCGCGCCGGCACGCCCCCCTGGCAGAGGGCACGGGCGCACGCAGGAGCATGCACCGCCGGAGGCCTGCACGGGCCTCCTGGCCCGGGGCTGGGCGCCTCCCCCAGAAAAGCGCCCCTGGCGCCGCCCCCGGCTCGCGCCGCGCGCGAGGGGGAAGGGGGGGGGGCACTCGGCGCCCGTCCGGGAAGTCCGCGCTGACCTGCGACGGACAATGCCCACCTGTCCGCTCGTGCGCCGTTTGGATTGCAAGGCACGCCAGCGGGGTGACTCTCGGCCGCATGAAAACAGGCCTCTGATGGGCGCGACCGGCCGCCCTCGCGGGCGTGCGCGCGCGCGAGGAGGCGGCGCTGCAGCGCAGAGATGAGGCAAGAAGAAAGGGGAAAGAGGAGGAAGAGGACGAGGACGCACGAAGGAGGGGAAGGAGGAGGAAGGAGGAGAAAGAGGACGACGACGATGGGGGCCCACGAAAGTGCATGTTCATGCAGTGTGCTCTTCTTCGTTCGCCTGATGCCCCGCCTCCAGGAGCAGCCGGGGCGAAGTCGCCGACCTCGAAGGAGTCGCCCAGGACAATCGCCCGCGAAGCGTCGCCAGGCCAGCCCATCTCCATGGGCCCACATATAATGCCAGAAGTCCACTCTCCAGCCACCTTTGCCCTCTTGACCTAGAGGATCGGGGGAGGAAAAGGTGCCCATGCCGCTGCCCTTCGCCCGCTTTCCCACTTTTCGGCCTCCTGGGAGACCCTCGTCGCCACCGCTGGACTCGCCTCGAAACTCTGGTCAGAACGCACTCCTGGAGAATTCCAGGGAGAAGCAGTATCGGTACCTGTTGGCTTCCCCAGAACCCAGAAGAAGAGCAAGCATAGACGACACTCCCGAAGCTGTCAGCCAGAGTGGGCCCGAATCAGTGCGATCTTGCACCGTGGAGGTGAGAGCCATGCGGTGCAGGTGCCGTGGCGAGAGCCACGTCGTGCAGGCTGTGCCGTGCGAGCGGTGCATGCGGGGACTGCGACACGAGGCGTGTGCACGCCGTGTCGTGCAAAAGCGACGCGGGTGTGCCCCGGAAGCGAAAGCCGTGGGCGGAAGCGTGT